ATCAGCGGGTGAGCCAATCCATCTATCTTATGCTACTTCGTGGTTGTTTACTTTTATTTTGATTCGTCACAAAATTAATCACTAATTAAGCATGCAATGAGCTAATAAATTCCCTCTAGATAGTTCAGTTTTCAAGTTCGAAAATTGTACCATTTAAAGTGAATTGGTACTTCGAGGAATTTGAATCCAAAAATATCGGTCTTTGCATTCCTAAATTCAATAAATGAATTTTAACAGTTATTACTGATTGAATTGATTCTAAGAAAAATTTTTTGTTTTTAAATTTGTAGCAAACTAACACTTTTTTTTTCTCTTATTTGAATAACTAAGAGAAAAATAGGAAGATATCACGAAGCAGCCTTTATTATTTAGAAAAAAAAAATATTAATTTCAAAAAACAGAAATGATGAATTTTTGTAGTGCGGCCCAACAGCACAAGAAACGACTTGTTTCGTATCGAAAAAGCGATGCAGTGGCAAACACCGAAAAAAATAATGCCAAACTTCTCGATGAAATTTGGGGAAGTGGATTGGAGTGTTTCCAGGTGTTTTATTTAGATCACTTCACAAATTATTTGAAGTTTATTGATTGAGTGAAAATACTAATTTGAATTGTATAAAAATTTTTCTGGATATCAAAGTGTCTTCGTTTTTAAGTCCTCTTATCGATATTCAGGAACTGATGATGTGGCTAATACATATCATCACTATCTGTTAACACACACACACACACACACCAGTTCCTGAGCAATATTAAAATTTTATTTCTCTTTATTTTATTCATGCATAAAATGCAAAACTCTTCAAATTTACAAAAATTTAAATAACTAATGCAAGATTATCAGTAGCAATTTTTAGGCAGTACCAGCCGATGGACGCAACGATGATGATGAACCAATGCTTTTAAGACTTAATATTGGTGGTACCTCATATCTGTTGTTGATTGAAGCCATTCTACAGGCAGAATTAACTAGTTTTCTTTCTAAATTCGTTCAGCTAAATCATAAATCCAGATTGAAGGTTTGCATTTCTCACAAATATTAAAAAAAAAAAATTCGAACAATTTTTTCTTCAATGAAGGAAAATCAACACAATGTATTTGGAAAATTATATTTACTTTGAAAGAATAGTAGAAATTGAAAACTTGATGATTTAATAGCTTTTACTGTATGTTATCCAAGAATTATATTATATGAGAAGCAGATAAATTGAAAAGCATTGTAATAAGAGTATAGAAAACTGTGAAAAAATCTCTACAATACTTTGCAAAATGTTTCTGAGCTTGAAAAACAATCATAAGTTAAAACTTGTAAATTGTTTGATTTCAAGAAAAACTATTAAGATTGACTAAAAATGGAATCTAATTCTTTTCAGATCTTACTCGTAAGAATTAATAAGTAGCGATTACAAATTCTTTTCAAATATTTGCTTTACGATGTATGTGTCAAAGAATAAATCTATAGGGATCTATTTCATTTCAGGTCGCAGATGCCTATATAGCATCTGAAGATGCATATTATTTTCAACGATCACCATATGCATTTGATGCTGTATTTCAATATTATGCAACTGGTGTTGTGCATAAGCCACCGGAAATTTGTCCTGCTGCTTTTTTATCGGAGTTGGAATTCTGGGGAATTTCTTATCGATCTATTGGTTCATGTTGTGCCGATATTGTAGCCCAGGATCGATTCGAAGAAAAGGAAGAAGAAAAAGTATACCCTCAATCATTTTCCAGAAATTTGAAGATAAAATTATGAAAACGATTTTTTCCAGGTTGATAATAAAACTTTTGATAATTTGATGTTCGGAAAGCTAAGGAGAAAGATGTGGACCTTTCTGGAAAGACCTGGTTCATCAGTTCAAGCTAAAGCATTTGAATTATCATCAACTTTGTTTGTTGCTATATCTGTTATGGGTCTAAGCTTTGGAACTATTCCAGATTTTCAAGTCTGTTTTTATAACTCAAATTTTACATTGAATGTTTTTGTTTGAAAAAATACGATAGAAGTAATGATTATATTAGAATTAAAAATTTGTTCAATAATTCTTCTGTTTAAACAGTCAAAAAAAGGAAAATTAAAATGAAGGAAGGTTTTGTATATTCAAAACAGTGTATAGCATAAAGTTACTTTGAGTTATCAACTAATAATAATTGCTGTTACTATCATCGTTTAAAACTTTATCATCTATTAACTGATGAAACTCAATCATTAAGTTCACTCAGTATTCATGCAATCCTCATATTTCGAATTTTTGATTTTCCTAAAATTTTCCTAAAACTTTCCTAAAACAAATTTCCTAAAACGAACTTCCTAAATTAAACACAAATAGATCATCAATATTTATCGATTCATAGCGTATTATTAACAATGTTAAAAATACGCGTAGAAAAGATTAAAACAAACTGTTTATCTTCAGTCTATTACTTTAAAACTTTATTAATCTCACTATTTGCGCTAATTTCTTCTAATAACTAAGATCAATTTGCGCAGAATTCAAATTTAAGAAATTGAAATTGATCATTTTTAGGTTACTCAATATTTGCCTGCTCGCAATGAAACAATTTTACTTCCAAATGGTACTATAATGGTGGTGGAAAAAATTGAAGAAATGCAAGTTGAGCATCAAATTTTTGTATTAACGGAACGTATTTGTATAGCATTTTTCACTGTTGAATATTGCCTCCGATTATTTGCTGCACCAAGGAAACTTCGTTTTACACTAAAACCATTAAATTTGGTAGATTTGATGGCAATTATTCCATTCTATCTCGAATTACTATTAACATTATGTGGTGTGGATGATAAAAAATTGCGTGATTTACGTTGGGCCTTCTTAGTGGTTCGTATATTGCGGGTTCTACGAGTGATACGAATTATTAAACTTGGCAGATTTAGTTCCGGTCTTCAGACATTTGGTATGACACTACAAAGGAGTCAAAAACAACTACAAATGATGGCAATTGTACTGCTCACCGGTGTCGTTTTCTTCTCCACGATGATTTATTTTTTAGAAAAGGATGAAGATGGAACACCATTTACTAGTATACCTGCTGCATATTGGTGGTGTAAGCTTTTTTTTTTTCCTTTTATTTCTTCAATCTTAAATTAATTCATCCATAAGTTGATTCTTAGCAAAACTATTGTCAAATTATCAAATTTTTATTAGAGCTAATAATGAACTACGAATTTAAACTTTCAATGCTTTCATTTTTTTAACATAAATTATTAATAAGTTGGCAGTTAATTCTTAAATTAAGTTATTTATAACTTGGTAGTTAATTCAAAAGAAAACTTAATGATGACAAGAAAAAAAAAAGAAATTGAGGCTGAATATATATTCTAACTGATATTACAGGCATTGTAACGATGACAACAGTTGGCTATGGCGATGCTGTCCCAGCAACAACAAGTAATTCTTATTTCAATCATCTTTAAAATCTAAAGGAGACTTTTTAAAAATTAAAATGATAATCATCACTTAAATTATCCGTAAGTTAGTAGATAATCCTTATCAAACCTATAATTATCATTTGTAGTGGGCAAAATTATCGCATCAGCAGCAATAATGTGTGGTGTATTAGTGCTAGCCCTACCGATTACAATTATTGTGGACAATTTCATTAAAGTGGCGCAAGATGAGCAACAAGCAGAGCAGCAAAGATTTGATCAAGTGCGACAGGAAAGAAGAATTCAATCCATATTAAACAAAAAAATTGTTAATGAAGATTCATGATATTATAACTGTAATTTACTTACTGTGCTACCATTCATATCTCAATCTTCCATTAGGAAGAAATTTCCATTCCAGCTTGACTAATTCACTTCAATTTCTTGCTTGCTGTCTTTCTTGTCATCTCAAGTGTACATATTTTACATTTTGTAAGGTAATCTTAGTGCCAGTTGAAGTTGTTATCTTCAATAGAATATAGAATAGTTGATTTAAATTTCAGAAAATTTTTTCACGAATATACTTTCAACATATTCTAGTTTTTTTTTAGCATTTTAGTTTTCTCAAAAATAGATTGCAAGCTAAAACCAAGTAATTGTGTTATGTTAAAACTTCTTAGGAACTACTGATAAGATCTCAAAAATCCCATGAGTTATTAAAAATTTAAAATTTTAACAAAAAACATTACCAGATTGCAAAACAGAAAACAATTGTAACTCCATAATTACTATGAATGCTAGGATTGACATTTCGAATTACAATATTTTACTATTTCAAAGTGATGAATGGTTTCATTAATTTGGTTTTTACAAATTTGTATAAATTTTTACTCGTAACTAATAAAAGTTTTCCGTGCATTTTACCGCATTTAGTATCCAAAACAAGCTCCAAAATTATCACAACAGTTTAGATGAAAAGCCTTCTAAAAAATATTGATGACTTAATGAGAATGCTACAGAAAATATTTTGAAGAAATGAAAGTTTTGAAATATTATTCAAATGTGAAAATTCATATGAAATAATTAAGGTCTCAAGTTGAAACAGTTAATCAAATTTTTGGTTCCAATTTTTCATATTCATTTCTCGCACATTTAAAAATACAAATTATTTTACCTTCTTCCTGATTTCTAACTGTTTGCATTGGCATTAACTAATTTTTTAAAAACAATTTTGCAAATCTCAAAATTTCTATTTGTTGCGAAATTATATAGCTCAATGATACAAAATTGTGAAAATTTCAAATTTAAAAAAATTGAATAGGATCCGACTTTTGATCTTATTAGAAATTTCAATTCTTCATCGAAGAATAAAATATCACAAAGATCTTTGTAACAATTCAAGATTTTATGTTCAAAAGCTTAAAATTATAAAAAGGAAAGGATAATAAAAAATTCAGTCATAAATTTTCCGTTAATTTCAACCTCTTCGTTTTACACACAGGTTATTCAAATCTATAAAAAATTATCTGAAACATATCGAGATCCCTAATGATGTTATTTAATGTTAGGTAGCCTGAAAAATTGTTAGAAAGAAGTTGAGGAATTAAAGCTAACCAGTGAAAGCGAGTTGTAGTTTGACGTTTTCACCTTTATCGAAAACTTGCGGTTCTTTATATTTATCAGCATCAATTATCATTGGTTCCGATTTTACTTCTACATTAAATTTATGTTGTGCCTTACCGGCTTCATTTTCCACAATAACCTAAACGAATCTCATGAATGTTGAATGAAATGATGGAAAAGAAACATCTAATAAGAATAAAATAGTTAGTTTATTTTATACAAAAGGAAAACTTTTTAGGACAAGCTTGATTAATCTTCCATACCTGATACTCTCCTTCGTCATCCTCAACAAGTTTCTTGATTGTAAGTACTGATTTCTTATCCATTTTCGTAATAGTATTGTCCACATCATTGAATAATTCTTTACCGTTTTTATACCAATGAACATCGGGTACTGGTTTAGCAGTGAATTCTACACTGAGTATAAGTTTATCACCTACTCGACCAGCTTCTTTTTCCGGTGCTTTTTTAATTTCCGGCTTTTCAGTTGCTATAATCGAAAATGATTAAACCGATTGCAAATTTATTTTGAAAAATGACCGTTCAGAAAAGATTATTTTTCGCTAGAAAGGCTTTTGTTGAATAATGAACATCGGTTAGTGCTCATTTACATACCTGGTTGGCACTGAAAATAATTAGACTTAACTCCCATTAGATTATATATAAATTTGCTCAAAATATAATTGCACAGTTAAAATAAGTGATTGAATTATATTTTTTTAAGTATTACAAAAAATTCATTATAAAAAAGCAATCAATCAAAAAATGAAATTAACAATATTTACCAGTAATTTTTATAGGTTGTACAGGTTCGTCATTTTCTAAAGCTGGACCAGTACCGAAAGCATTTTCAGCTGCAACACGGAAGTAATACTTTGTAGTATCAGTTAAACCAGTTATAGTTGCAGTTGTTGTTGTGATACGTGTAACGAATGCCCAACTTGATTTCTTAACATCGCGTTTCTCAATACAGTAACCGAGCAACTTACTATTACCATCCTGTTTTGGATGATTCCATGCAAGTTTACATGAAGCATTTGTTACATTAGACACTTGTAATGGTCCAACTGGAGCAGATGGAGCTCCTGAAAGAATTTCACAATTTAATGATTATTTATATCTCCTTCGAAAATATAAAAAATGCATATCAATTCTATTCAGCTTTATAATTTCATGATTTCCAATTTTCATTTTATAGCTGTTAATTTTGAGAAAATTTTTGATTTTCAACAAAAATAGCCAAAGATTAAGATTAAATGGATCACATGCAATATAATCATCTGTTATCAAATAAGGCGCATTAATAATTGCTACCACAATGTAACATAATTATGCTATTATTAGAATACCAAATGAATTATCGAAACATCGTGACATTTCTAAGCTTAACATTTCAACAATGAACGATCAACAAAAAACCAACCTTTAACTAGCACTTTAACCTGATCTTCTTGTTTTCCGCATGTATTTTCCGCAATTAATTTATATTGACCTGAATTATCAATAGTTGCTTTTTTGATTGTTATAACAGCAACATGTTCTTGGAATGTTATGATAGTATTATCATCTGTCTTCAATTCTACACCATCTTTTAGCCATTTGCAAATTGGTATGGGTAATCCCGTAACATTTGCATGAATTTTCAACATTTCACCAGCTTTTACTTCAACGGTAGTTTCGTCAAATTCAATTTTGGGCTTATCTGAAATATCAGTTTAATCACTCTTTGAAATTCTTAAAAAACTGAATTATTTAAAAATGTCAATGTACTGTAACTACTGTACTCTGCCTATCTTTTCTGACTATTCATTTTTTTTTTAACTTTCATAGTTTCACCGATATTACTATTAAATTTATATTCAACAAACGAATAACCTGTAACAATAACGCAAATTTCAGCACTTGCTTTCTCTGTCTTATTCATTGCCGTACAGTGATACAGTCCTGCTGTTAATTCGTCAACATTTTCAAGGCATAAAACTGAGGTATTTGCCGTAGTTTTCACTAACTTCTGATCAATTGCTTTTCCATCTTTCATCCAAAAGCACTCATCGAAATTACCGCTAATATTTATGCTCAATTCAAAATTCTTCGTCCCATAATTAACCGTTACGGAATCATTGACAGATTTCATCTCTAACTTTTCCCTCCGCATTACTGTTTCTTCTTTTTCCTTCTCCTTCTTCTTTTCAGTGACCAATTCATTGGACAACACTTCTTGTAAAATTGACCCTTCTAACTTCTGTTCTACAGTTTCCTTCTGCTCATGCCTGCTCGTTATCTTCTTTTTCTTTGCCAATTTTCCATCTTTTGCACTTTCCTTTTCTTCAGAATCCTTTCCAAATTCAACTTTCACAGTTTCTAATAATTCTGTTTTTTGTTCAATTTCCACTTTTTCCTCCGGTTTTTCTTTCAGTTTTTTTTCTAAGTGCTTTTCTTTCAACATTTCTTCAGCTTCTGCTTTCCCGTCTTTCTTTACTAATCCAATTCCCCCTTCTCCATCGAATTCTACTTCCGGCTTCTTTTCCTCTTCAATCTTCTCCTCCTCAAAATTATCAGTTACTTCAACTTCATCTTTGAGAATTTCTTTCTTCTTTGCTGCTTTTTTTCTCGTTTCCTGGGCTTTTTTCTTAGCAACTTCTTTTGATTCAATCTTTTCCTCAACTTCGGCTACTTTTTCGGGAGGTTTGAATTCGTTTTCTGTCTTTCTTCCAACTTCAATCTCTTCTTGTTTTTTTTCTGGTTTCTTTTTTCTCGTCACTATTTCCATTTCTGCTTTTTCGTTAGCTTTAATTTCCTGTTCCTCAGGTTTCTCCTCTAATTTTTCTACTATTTCAACTTTCTTCTCCTGCTTATCTTCTTTTTTCTTCGTCCTAACTTTTTTACTTGCTTTTTCCCGTTCGGCCTGATCATCAGATTTTTCAGACATTTGCTTCACTGCTTCCTGTCGTTCCATCTCGATCGTCTCAGAAATTTCTTGAAACATTTCAATAGTCTCATCTTTTGATTTCTCTATTTTTTTCTTTTTCTGATCGGGAATGGTTACTATCTCGATTTCCTCACTGGGACTAGATAATTGATCACCCTTCTTTGCAGTAACACGATATTTTTTACTCAAACTTTCATCAAAAACATCTTCGAACTTCGATTCTGCTGTTATACCAGTCTGCTCCCAATCATTTTCTGATTTCATTCTTTCAATAATATATTCTTCAGCTTCCTCAACTTTTTCCCATGTAATTAGGACAATTTTGTCATCCTCAATAAGTGTTCCTTTCAAAATATTAGGTGTTAACAGACGTTTTGTTGATTCCTCCAATTTAGCAGTACTTTCATTTACGGTCACCACATCAACTACATTGCTTGGTGCTCCTTCACCAACCTCATTCACAGCAATCACTCGGAAAGAGTAGCTTTCGTTCGGATATAAATCTTCAGCAAGAAATTCACATTGTTCCGATTCACATTTTCCAACATTACGCCAACGTTTGATATCCGATGTTCTCCTTTCAATGATATAATTTGTAACTGGCGATCCATTATCTCCTGCTTTTTCCCATTTAAGCATCACTGAACGACTTGTTATATTGAAAGCTGTTAAATGAAGTGGTTTAGAAGGTACATTGATTACATTCAATTGAATTTCTTCACTTGCACTTCCATTTTCATTTTCTACCACAACTTTCAGAATACCTGAATCATCCTGGATTATATTTTTGAGACGTAATGATAGCTTATTATTATACGTATGCATACGAGATCTCATTTTATTCAATGGTTTATCGTTAATAGTTGTCCTAATATCGACCTCAGGAAATCCATCATAATCGAATTCGATATCGAAATCAGTGCCACAATGTAATTTCAGTACATTGCTTGGTAAATGTTTTGATAATTTGATCATTGGTGGTATTTTAAGCTCTACTTTAGCTGGCGCACTTTCTTCCTCCTCGCGAAGTGCTGCTATATATTCGGCGCAGTCATTGAGGTCAAAGTGCATAATTGTTAATGTTGCTACGGTATCATTCACATTCATGCTGTATTTCTCTTGTCGTGACCAAATTTCTCTTTTGTTTTTCAACCATTTCACAATTTTTACTGGCTTAGTAGTTTCGCATTTCAACACAATGGTTGTATCAAGTTCACTAACAATCTGATCTTGTGGACCTCTCTTGATATGTGGTAGTTCCTCTGCAACATTTACAATCATTATTTTTTAATAGTATATTTTTTTGGAATTTTGGAATATCATTAAAATAATGATAGGAGCAGTAATTTGAAAACAAGATGAATTAGTTACCTCTAACAACTAATTCCGCTTCAGTTTGAGTCTTTTTATCAATCGTGCTACATACATATTTACCACTATCTTCAAGCACTGCATTTCTAATGGTAAGTTTTCTTTCAACGCCATCCTCTTTGATCATTATCCGGTCGTTGGATGGCAGCGGTTTGCCATCCTTTAACCAAACAACAGAAGCATCAGCATCAGAGAGCTCACATGAAAATCCAATTTCTTCTCCTTCGTCAACTTCAATATATTCGGAGAATGAAGAGACAAAATGTGCCCGAACTTCTGCAAGATTTCAGTCATTTAGCTCATTCCAAAAAAGACATGAAATAGGTGCAATAAGTAAATAACACAACTTCCTAAAGGAAGTGCATAATTTCAAAATTTGATAGGAATTACAAAAATACCAGTGACAGTGACGACGGCTTCCGAATCTGCTGAACCATGATCGTTAACAACTTCGCATCTGTACAAACCGTCATCTGCTGTGGATGTGTGATGAATCACGAGAGCGCTCATAAAGCCTTCACTGACAATCTATAAAACTTCATTCAGCTTCCCAATTTTCAAATAAATTTAAAATTCTAGTAAAATTAAAATAAAGAATTAGATAACTAAAAATGCAAATATAACAGTGTGAAACGGCTTCCGAACTTTTTTCATTTATTGCATTCGTGAGAAGATAATCATCTTAATCATTTACTCAAGATTCTGATTTATATATTAGTCAGAAACTGTAGAATAACCTCAATATTTTCGTTGTCTGGAACGATTTCCTGATTATCCTTATACCAGATGTATTGTGGAGTGGGTTCTCCAGTTGCATGGCATTCCAATTTAAGTTCACGTTTGCGTGAAACCGAAACATCTTTGATACCTTTGGTTATTTCAGGTTTTTTGGCTGCTGAAAATATATGGAGCACGGAATAAAAGAATAAGTTGGACATTCTTGCTATCACCATAAAAGCCTTAAAATATTCATATCTCAAAAGGACCATATTTTAAAGTTTCAGTAAATTTGGTCTTATAAAACATTTTAAACTTACCAACTACACGTATCGGTATTGTTTCCTCAGAAAATTCACCGATTGTTGGGCCACTTCTTGGTGCAACTTTGAATAGATATGATAATCCCTCTTTCAAACCAGTTATATCCGCAGGTGAATGTTCTACTTCCTTCTATAACGAAAAATTTTTTCGTTAAAAGAAGAATTTTCAATCACTTAGAATAGCATCCTTTCAAAAGTTCAATTGTTAGGTTTCTTTTCATTTACAATTCTCATCAAATAAAACTAATAATTATTAAAATGAAAGGATCAAATGAAGTAAATGATATCTTATCAAATGAAGTAAATGATACCTTATCAAATGAAGTAAATGATATCTTACCTCCGACCAAAATGATGCATTTTCCGATTTGTACATTATTACGTAAGATGTCACATTACAATTCTCATCCGTAATGTCAGTCCACTGTAAGCGAACCGCATCTCCGACAACTTCTACTGTCGGTAAACTCAAAATCGGTAGTTCTGCTGCAAAAAAAAATTTATTTTTCTTTGATGTCAAACAATCGAGTCTAAATTACCAAATATAAAAAGGATCTCAGGAAGGCTCAGTTTTTCAGAAATGTAGTGGTGCATAAAAATTGCTAAAATTCCAAAATTAAAAAAATTTAACAAAAAAATAATAAAAAAAATAATAATGGATATCTACCTGTTTTGGAAATTATAAAAGGTTCCGATATGATATCTGAATTCGATGTAAGACCTGCTTCATTTGTTGCTTCCACCTTGAACTCATAAGTTAATCCAATTTCAATATTTGAAACAGTGAACTGTTCAGTGAATATCATTTCATCGTTAACTTTCACCCAATCACCTTTATCTTTTCGTACGAAAATATCATATCCATAAATTGGCGAACCACCATCTTCCGTTACTTTTTGCCATTTCAATGTACAACTCTTAAAAAGGATGAAGAAAAAATATATTAGTCAATGATAAGAAAGAGATAAAATAACTTTGAAATTAGTCATGACATTTATCACTACATTTATCAGTGTAATGCGAAGATGATAGGAAGGAAATTGTAACTAGATCATAATTATCAGTTGTTATGCTGCTAACATACATGTTTATTAATATTCTTATAGCTTAATTACACATATACAATTATAAACTAAATAAATCGTTGACATCCCAGGTGTGAAAATCATAAAATTTTGTTGTCAACGATAAAATCAGCTTCCCGCAAATTACGGAAAAAGTCGATATCGATAAAAAGTAATTAACCAGTATTCAGTTTACGTGATGAAGTGATAACTTATAAAAACGACTTATATTGCATATACAATCTTTTACGAGAAGTAGAAAGCGATAAGAACATAATGATTTCCTGATAACATACTATGAAGTGATATTTAATACTACAAAAAATATTAATTTTGAAAGACAAAATGTTTTTCACCTGATCGGTAACATTGCTGATAGTTGGCGGATGTGTCACAGATGGTGCCTTAAATGGCAGGCATGTTTGAAATGAAGCACATTCTAAATATTCACCAACTCCATATTTGTTCACGGCTGCTATTCGAACTATATAGGACGCATTCATCTTCAGATCATCCATATAATAATTCATTTCTTCACTCGACACCTGAACTCTTATCACTGATTGCGTGCTCCATTTCGATGATCAATTTTGAACTGATCTCAATGATAGTATAATAGCAAACCTGAGCAACACGATGAAAAGCTCTTCTGAATTCTTCTCTCTTCTCTACAATATAACTTGTGATAGCACTACCACCATCATCGCTTGGAGCATCCCAATGAATTGTCGCACAGGAACTGCCAATATCTGTGATATGTCCGTTTTCGGGAGCTCCCGGTACATCTATAATTATATAAAAACATTAATTTTTTTTTTAAATATGGTAATTTTGGAGTTAACATGAACACAAACAATTAGTCAGAATTAAGTGTAAATTTAAATTCAATTAATTCTTTCAGCAACACGAGCATGTCTAGTTGTTGAAAGAATTAATTGAATTTAAATTTACACTCAACTCTGACTAATTAAAGTGTTGTGAATAGTAGAACAAAATTATGGATGTAAACCGAAAAAGAGCATTCTCAAAAAGCCTTCCACAATTGCAATCTTTGTCTTCTGATAGTGAAATGTATCACAGAGTATGTGACACATTACATTAATTCGAAAGATGTACAGAATTAAAAAAGAGAGATAAGAAATTAATTATATAGTGTACATAAAATCGGTATTTTAGGGAAAGTTTTTGGAAAAGTAAATCACAATGAAAATGAACGGTTTAATTCCATTCATCACAAGTAGCGTTGAAAAACCAATTTTGAAACAATATTGAAAACATTATTTCTTAAAACTGCCGAAAATTTGAAAATTTTTTGCTCATAAGACAAATAGGGATTGTTATTGATTAGCATATTTTTTCACAATTTTTTTCAATAGGATATGTTTTCACGTACTGTTGGATGTATTTATATATACTATACATTAATTCAACAATTCGAATGATAATTAAATTAATCTTTGTTTAAAAAAAGAAAAGTAACCTTTGATATTAACAGAAAATGTCCGTGAAACTTCGCCATAATCATTTTTGATTTTGATTGTATACTCGCCGGCATCACTTTTATCTACTTTACGTTTGCAGAAGCATGCCTTATCGTTGAAAGTATCCAATTGTACCTTTGAACTGCCCGAAATATTTTCATTATTAAAAAGACATTCTAACGTTGGTTCCGGTACTGCTTTAAACGGTATCATTATTACTAAATTATCTTGTGATTCAAGATCTAGCGTTGTTACAGTGGTTTCGATTTCATCAAGTATTGGTGCTCCTTCAACGGTTAGAACAGTCGATGTTTCTGCAGAATCTATTTTTACTGAATAACGACCAGTTTGATCATAAGATAAATTTTTTATCAGCAAACTGCAAATATTGCCTTCAATATTTACTTCGTAGTGATCGTTATTTTCGATTAAATGTTGATTATTAAAGAACCATTGGCAATTTTGACCTGAATGTGATACGGTTATCGATAATTTTACGTAATCATTCATTTTACCGTTAATTTTATGCGGTAACTTTTCAATAATTTCAACTGGTATATCCTCAATAATTAAACGACTTTCTGCAGAATGATCATGAATGTTAGCTGTGATTATCGTATCCATATCTTCTGGAATAACATTTTCAATTTGCAAAATTCTCAGATATCCATCTATAATTTCTGTACATCGTTTGTCATCCGTAGCTGGCTTCCCGTTAATTGTCCAATTAATCTTATCTTCTTCATTAAAAACTTCACACTCAATTTTAACCGTATCATTTCGGAAGGCCAGAATTTCTTGCTCTGGAGGTAGGGCAAACCCACTTGGACGTTTATGCATTCGTCGTGCAGTTGATGTTTCATCCGTGCGTGGCAATGTTAATGTTCCGGTAATATCATCCGGTTCCAGTACTTCACTTATCGGAACCCCTGGTATATTAACGGTTACGTCAACACTAGAACTGCCATCTAGTTTTTCAATTTCTTTCTCTTTGTTCACTTTTTCCTCTTCTACATGCTTCTTCTCCATGTGCATGTCAGGGGTTTCATTCTCAATCTGCTTTACATCTTCCTCCTCCACACTTTTCTTTGCCGTTTCATCTTCAGTTTTAGGCTTCTGCAATGCTTTCTTAACGACCTTTTTGCCGGCAACCTTCTTTTTTGGTTTTCCTTCTTTATCTTCCACAGTCTTTCGTTCTTCAGCTTCTTGCTCCAAGTGTGACCGTTTGGACACGTCTTCTTCGACTTGTTCAGGTTTCGGTCTCTCAACTTTCTCATTTATCTCCTCCAACTTTGCTTCCAGTTTTTCAATCTCAGTCTTTTCTGGCTGTGCTTCTGCCACATGCATTTTTGATTTCTTCATTTTCGAAGTCGCTTTCACAGTGGTAGAAATTACTTCTTTATTTCCCAAAGTTGAAATAACTTTATCAATATTATCGATGTTTGAAGTGTTTTTGAAGAACATGTCAACGCTGACTATCTTGTCGGTTTTTTCCTTATGCTCCGCACGCTGTTTCTTCTTAACTTTTGACTTATCCACTATAGATTTTTCCTCGAGATCATCTTTTTTAATTTCTTTTTCTATTTCGATCTTCACTTTTTCAGATGTTTTAATTTCCTCTATAGTAATATCTTGTTTCTGAAGCTCTACATCAAGATTTTCATCTGCGATCTCAGCGACAGCTTTCTTGGCGACAGTTTTCTCCTTCTTTTCTTTGCTCGATTTCTTCTTTTTAATTTCTTTATTTTCTTTAATTATTGGCTCTTCTTCTAATGCAACTTCTTCAACTTTTTCAACAAGTTTCACAGTCTCCAAAACTTCACCAAAGTCGACTTCTTTTCCTTTCTCCCGTTCTATTTCAAAGTTTTCTTTCACCTCGAATTCTGTAGCTGCTTCTGTAGGCTTCTTTTCTTCATGTGAAACTTTTTTGTCAGGTTTTTCTCCAAATTTCTCTTCTTCAATACCTGATGCAATTGTATCTTTTGCGTGCTTCCCTTTTCTTTTTGATTTATTTTTGCTCAATTCATTTATTTCTTCACTAATTGCTTTTTCTTTCTCCAAAGGAATCCCGTCATCATTGTTCTGTTCTTCAATATGTGCAGCCTTATCGTCAATAATTTCCTTTCCTATCTCTAAAGTTTTGTCACTTTCAACTCCGTCGACAGATTTCTGCTGTATTATCGGAATTATTTCTTCAGAAGACTTTCCTTCTTTCTTAATGTTCTTTGTTTTTATTTTCTTCAACTTTCGTTTCTCAGCTCCAACAGTATCTGACATTCCGACTTTCTTATCCATCTCAGGAACTTCATCCTTCACTTTTTCTTCAGGACTTTTAATTTTAACCAATGCTTCTTCCGCTTTTTCTACTTCAACCTTCACTTTTTCTTCAGGAC